GTTCTCCACTCGTTCCCCAGGGTTTACCCCGAGGCAAGCAACCAGTGAAGACTTCCACTCCCCCTTACACCCCCTTGAAGGTTTTGACAAAAAAAAAAAGAATGATCAAAGAGCCTTTGTGCATTTATAAACCTGTCAATTTTGCTAGAAGACTTAAGGCTTTAAAGAGTCCAAAACATCCATTTGAAATTTTCTATACAAACAGTTTTTTAATATTTCAAAAAACCCAGAAATAAAATATTTAGATTTTTCTGAAGTGAGGCATTCCAACAGCTCCAGACAGGAGTGCTGGAGGGGAGGAGGAAATCCAATTCTTAAGTTTGACAGGAACAATTTTTTTTGTTTCTTTTAATTGGCAGAGAAACAAGACTGCACAGCTATTTCTCCCCCTGGCTCTGACAAGGAATAGCTGAGAAGAGCAGCACAGGAAACAACAAAACCAAACTTACTCAAGTGCTGCCAGTTTCAGGTTCCTGCCCCACACCAGCTTGCCTTGCAGGACAGATCCCCCAAGCCAAGGAGGCAGCAGTGTTCACCCCACCATCCTTCCCCTCCACACACCCACCCCACCTTACCTGTTGCCTCCAAAATCCTGCCATGCAGAAGACAAGCAGATTCCCCACCTGAAAACAGTTCAGGCATGACAGAGGTTTTGGGAGACCTCAGCTTTTTTTCCCCAACTCCATTACCTTTATTACTGGCAGCCAGAAGCAGTGTTGAGAGAGGCAAACATTCGGCAGCACAGTTCTTTCTCCTTTTCCATGTAGTCCTTGTAGGAGCTGGAAAGCAGAGCACAGCATGGCATCACAGGCTCTGGGCTGCCCACCCAACTGTCAGTGCCACAACCAGAAAATGTGTATTATTTTTCTACTTTTTTATTAATAAATTAGCCTGTGTGCTTGTAGCAAAGACGCAGCTCCTCCAAGCCCTTCTTTCTGCCATGTCTGGGAAGCAGAGCTACAAACATGGTGCCTCACTCATCCTGGAGAAACAGAGGCTCAGGGGAGACCTTCCTGCTCTCAACTCCATGAAAACAGGTTGGAGTCAGGTGGGGCCAGTCTTTTTGTTTAAAGAAAGGGACCTTTAAAGGTCATCCAGTCCAACCCCCCTGCAGGGAGCAGGGACATCTGCAGCTAGAGCAGGGTGCTCAGAGCCCCATCCAACCTCACCTGGAATGGTTCCAGGGATGGGGCAGCGACCACCTCTCTGGGCAGCCTGGGCCAGGGGCTCACCACCCTCATCACAAAATAACTCTTCTTTCTATCTAGTCTAAACCTCTCTTTTTTATGTTTCAAACCATCCCCCTCGTCCTGTCCCAACAGGCCCTGCTAAGAAGTCCATCCCCAGCTTTCTTCTAGGCCCCCTTTAAGCCCTGGCAGCCCCCAGCAGGTCTCCCCAGCTGGAGCCTTCTCCTCTCAGCTGCCCCAGCCCAACTCTCTCCTGCTGGGCTCCCAGCAGAGGGGTTCCCCCCTCGGGGCATTGCTGGGGCTCCTCTGGCCCCGCTCCAGCAGGTCCCTGGCTCTGCTGTGCTGAGGACTCCAGAGCTGCCCCAGCACTGCAGGGGGGTCTCCCCAGAGCAGGGCAGAGGGGCAGGATCCCCTCCCTGCCCTGCTGCCCATGTTGCTGAGGGTGCAGCCCAGGCTGCCGGGGGCTCCTGGACTTGTAGCACTGTACTGCAGCACTCTGACAATACACACATGCCAAGCCTCCAGAGCAGCCATCCAGATCTATTTGATAACTACTTGCACTCACCTAGCAATTTGGTAGCTACATGCCAAGAGGCAGATCAGGATGAACAGAAGTGGTTTATTTCACATCTCCAAACCAGCAGCTAATACTGCCTTCAAGTTCTTTGTACTTCAGAAGTAACAGAACAAGTCTGAAGATTTGGTGTTACTACAGACACCACGTGGATACTACAAAATCCACATGGATATACAGGACAGCAACGTGCAAGGACAACCCTCTACTAAAACACTAGCTGGTGAAGGCACCCAGCACACAGACTGGCTCTTCCAGCCACACCAACTACTCTAAGAGATGCTGCTGCTGCCTACAAACCTTTTTTTGCAAATGCCTTTCAGCAACACACAACAGAAGAGGGATTTGTAGTCCAGGGCTGCTTTGTGATCTCCAAAGCTGGGGACTGCATTCCCTTCTGTGCCTGGGAAGAGCACCAGAAGTACAGCACACACTTTTGGGAACAAGCTCATGCTTCTGCCAGTTTCAAAGGGAAGAACAGAGTGAGGGCAGAGAGCAGTGTTAGTCATGCTTTGGTGGGGCTAGGGCATGACTCAAGCTGGCAGGACTGTGCTGTACTCGAGCCTGAGGGAGAAGGGAAAGTTTGCCTTCAGCACTGCTCACTGATTTCCTCCAAGACAGCAAGAAAATCACTATTCACCAACGTTTGTATTTGTTGCTTTGCACACTGAAACACTTGCAGTGGGGAAGAGCTGCTGTAATTACCTTCAAGAGGATGAAAAACTCACTCACTAATCCAGAACATGATCAGCTCCAGGGCAAGCCTGGCTGCATTTCATCACTTTAGAGGCATTTCAGCAACTCCTTCTCCTCACCCTGACCTACCTACTCATGAGGAGAGTAACACACACATCCCCCCTGAGAAACTGTGTGAAGAAAACTGCTTTCAGCTTCTCACCTGTAACCACTGTGTCTGCAAAACACTTCAACCAGCTGTCTCCACCCTAAGAGAAACCTTCTGCTCTTTCCCTAGTCACTCGCTAACCCGCTAAGTTTTGCGTGTTGGTTTGTTGTGTTTGTTTTGTTTTTTTTTTAAACATTTTCAATCTTTTTGAGCTGCTGTTCCAGCGTGCCCAAGCACACTCTCTTCCACAGGGATGGAAAGGAATTTCCCTCACCTTGCCAGCTTCTTCAGCTCCTGGTTAACATCGGGGTTGAAGGGCGCGATGTGCTGAGCTCGGAGCAGGAACTCCCGGGCTCTGTCGTACTGTGTCATGCAGAGACAAGCCTGCCATGGAGAGACAGAGGCACTTCAAGAGAAATCCAGACTCCCTGGCATTCCTCAGGACTCAAACACACTCAACCACAAACATTTCTGAGACACATCCAGGTGGCTCAGGAATCCCCCCATGAAAGGACTGACAGAGAGCCAGATTTTTCCAAAAGGTCAGATGCAGACAAACCACCTTGACTGCTGCAGTAGTTTAAGAGGCCTGGCCCAGAATTTAGTGGTTCTCCTCAGTTCATTCAAGGTTCCCCTCCACAGCCAGTCAGCCTGGAGTATTCCCTTGATGTGGCTACCAGAGGAATTTATCTTTGCCCACCTGGCCACACCTGAACAGGGCTTTGGCATTTCTTTGGTCAATCTCCAAGGCCTTCTCCCCGTATGCCAAAGCTCGGGCAGGACGCTCCAGTTTCAAGTAAGTAATTGAGAGATTCAAGAGCACCAGCAGCTTGGAAGTGTTGATCTGACACCTCTCTGCCTCACTGGAAGGGCTGCGACCAAGGATGGAGAATGCCTGAGAGACAGGGAAAAAGGAACTAGTGCTCAACAAATCCACTAGGGCAAGTGAGGAACCCAGCTCACCAGACAGCTACACCCAGGTTTCTGTTTGCCTAGCTCAGTTCAAAATAAACATCACCAAAACTCCAAATGTCCTGCATGGCATTGTGAGCACAGCTAGCCAGCTCAGCCAGAAGACTACAAGTTTGGGAACCTATCCAGGAACTTCTAGAGCAGCAGAATGAAAAGCGAATTACACCCGGGACTCAGATTTTTAAGGACAAGGATGGAAGAGAAATCTTATGGGGAGAAAGGCCATTTAATCTATTTTTGTTACAAAAATACCAAAAAAAAAAGCAAACTGAGGTTTAGGTTGGATATTAGGGGAAGTGTCCTCCCCAAAAGGTTTGTCCAGGGCTGTGCCAGGCTGCCCAGGGCAGTGGTGGAGTCCCCATCCCTGGAGGGGTTTCCAAGCTCTGGAGATGTGGTGCTGAGGGACATGAGGCAGTGGGGACCTGGCAGTGCTGGGTTAGTGGTTGGATTTGATGACCTGAAAGGTCTCTTCCAACCAAAATTCCATGAATGGAAGGAAGAAAAATCTCATGAAACCTCACTGCCTCTGAAACAAAGGCATCTGCCTGACACCTGAATGAGTATTTCCCCTACCTGGACAGGTTAGTGGAGTCCCCATCCCTGGAGATGTTCAAAACCTGAATGGACAGAGTCCTGGGCAACCTCCTGCTGTGCCTGACCTTCCTTCCACAAGGGTTTGGACCAGACAACCTCCAGAGGTTCCTACCAACCTCAACTATACTGTGACTACTGATGGGAAGGCTAAAAATAGAGTGCCCTGTGTGCCAGTGATAGCTGTTGGCAGATCAAAGGGATTCTAGCTCCCTTCTCAAAGCAGCAACCAGCACTCTGCTGCAATACAAGGCCATGCTGCACTGGGACATCTCCCACCAACCCTCACCCTGACCTGAAAGGCTCCAGCCATGCAAATCACTCAGGGCTCACACAGCCACTGGGATGTGTTCTTCTCTCTCAGCTAGAGCCCACAAGAAGCCAGCCTGAAGGAAAAAGCTGCTGCCTATTTCTGCCAACCCTTCTCCTCCACTCACAGCTGCTGCTCACACAAAAGCAGGTGTCTAAGATCTGTTCTTAAATAACAAACTACGCCTGGAAAATATAATGAAGCTATTTGATCTCTAAATTGGAGTTGTTATGCCACCACTTAATCACTCCTTTTGCAGCTTTGCACAATGGAAAACTTTTTTTTTTTTTCTCCTGGTGTCCTACCCTTTTGTATCTGTCTTTGGCAGCCTGAAAGTTGTGCTTCTGGTAGAGGTAGTTGCCAAACTGTCTCTCTGTGTCTGCCACTTCCAGCACCTTTTGTAGTGGAAATGTATCCTGCTGCTCCTGTGGAAAGAAATACCTGGATTTCAGCTCAAACAAAAGAAAACAAGCAGAGAGCTTAGACAGGACAAATCCTGCACAGTCCTCTTCTATTCACAGAGCAGCTGCCAAGGCCCCTGCAGTGTCCAGCCAGGCCAGCACCACACAGCATCTCCCTTCCCAGGCTGAAACTTGCTGTTCTGCTGGGAACTCCTGGTAAAGAGCACTACCAGCTAGGTCAGGAAGCTCACCAGGGCCAAAGGGACTCCAGGAGATGGGGAAAGAAAAGCAGGAATCTGTTCTTAAATCCTGCCCAGCTCTCTCACCTGCTTAGCAGAGCAGACAGTTAACACAGATGCTGTTGCTGGCACCCAAGGTGCAGCTGCTTGAAAGGCTCCGTGGCTTCAAGAGCTCAGCATCACCCAGGGTGATTGCCTCAGGCCAGCTCCAGGACCAGCCTGACACCCTCACAACACACCAACCAGCAAAACAAAACAAAACCTCCAACAATATTAAAAAAAAGAGAAAAATGGAGGGGCAGGTTTTCTCCTGGGTTTGCAAGTTTGAACCAGCTCACCAAGCAAGGTCAGTGAACCACCCAGGGCAGGCACAGAGCAAGAAGGGAGTCAGGTCTCTTGCAACAAGTGTGGCTCACTCACAAGGCTGTGTGTGGAAACAAGGGGCTGTGCAGCAGCAGGAGGGAATGAGGAGAGCCCCTCTGGCAGCCCGTGCCCCACACACTGACCCACAACCAGAGCCCAAAGCCCTCTCCATGGGAAGGAGAAGGAACAATAGCACTGTAACTCTCCAGGAAGGAAAGAGAACGGTGAAGGAGCACTTGGGAGAGCGGCCAAGAAGCAGAGACAAAGGTTGGGGGCTGGGGGGGGCACTTGGATGCTGCAAATTGAACAGGATTCCTACCGACAAGTCGTTATTGTTTCTTCCGAGTAATTCCTGGAAGCTGGTGCCCTCTAGTGAAAGCATGAGGGTTCTGGTAAAGCTTCAGATAAATAGCCCAGCACGTGGGAGCAAACAAAGGCAGCACCCAGCTTCTCCCTCTCCTTGGGAGTGCAAACAGAGCAGCGTGAGAGCCTGTGTGTTTGCACCCGAGCAGAGCCCAGGCTCTGCAGAGCTGCACCTGCAATCAAGCTCAGCCTATAAAACACACAACCAACCAGAAGACAACAAAGGTTTAACCTCCCAATTGAAGCCTCAAACCTGATTAAGCCCACTCACAGCAGACAGCTCGAAGAAGGCGTCGGAGTCGGCCGAGTCGAGGAAGTCCAGCAGCTCCACCTCAAACAGCACCGTGGCCTCGGGGGGGATGAGAGGGGGGCAGCCCTGTGGCCCGTAGGCATACTTAGGGCTGAAGACAAACCTGGCTGCCTCTCCCTTCCTCATGGTCAGCAGGCTGATCTCCAGGCCCAACAGTGTGATGTCTGTCCCAAGAGACAGGCAGGGTGACCAGAACGGCACACACAGGAACCCCCCAGACACCCAACCACTGCTCCTAGAGCCCAGCTCCATGATCCTGTCTCAGCAGATGCTCCCTGTGATGGATTCCTGAGGCAGCCTGCTGGGGCACCATGCATAGAGTGAACTGCTGTGGCTCCTCTCAGGTGGTTTAAAAGGCACCAAGGACCCCACTGCCCCAAAGAGTCAAGAGGGGCAAACGGTGACCTGTTCCGGGTTGATCATCACTTATGCAAACCCCTTCTGGACTCTCACTTAAACAAGTTTTTAAGGTTTCAGGTAACCTAAAGATACTAAACAATGTTTAAATTGCCTTAGTAGTTGGTCTTTAGAACCCCCAGCCCCAGGGCAAACTGTTCAGCTCAAACCTCACCTTTGCCAAGCTTCATCAGCTCAGGGAACTTGCTGTTGCCGTTGGTGCAGAAGGGCTCATCTGAGCCTTCCAAGTATCCAGAGTACTTCACTGTGCAGCCCAACGTGAGGGGCAGGGGGAAGAGAAAAGCAAGAGTTTGATTTCAAATAATCCAGTAACAGTATCATGGGAGCACACTGGGAGTTGGTTTGGTAAGGCCACCCCTCTACCCTGCTTTTCTTTTTCCTTTCTGCTGCAGAACAGCAGAGGCAGCACAAACCAGCTTGGGTTTTATCCCAAAAACCCTCTCACACCCAAGTACCACTGTGATTAAAATCACCAGACAAAGCAGCTGCTTCACAGACCTCATCCCTATCTGATTTAGGGATGTGATTTTATATTTTTAAGAACTGGAAGCTTCAGCTGTAGGAACTAAAATGGCCCAATCAGCTGCAGAAATAGGTGACAAAGCCTTTCCGAATCAAAGCTGGGGCCCAGGAAAGAGAAACAAATGGGAAAACTTAACCCTCCAAGCTCTGCCACTCTACTGGGCACTGCATGAGTGACTCCAGTTCTGATTCGGTCAGAAAACACCCCATAATGGGCTTCCCTTGGCATGGCACAAGGTCCTTGCACTTCAGGAATCATGTTCAGCTTCAAACTTCTCTGTAAGCACAGGTGGGACCTGCAAATCCTGCTTTTCTCAAGGTCAAAATGCCCTTTCATTTAATCTGTTGGCCACAAGACCTTAAACAGAGTACCCCAAATGCTGAAATACTGATAAGGGGAGCAGACAGTCTCTGAAACAGAAAGATACATCACTGTCTAATGAACACACATTTAAGGTCATCTGCTGTTCTCACCCTAAAGCCCAAAGTGCTCAGATTTGCCAGCCACAAGCACCTCAACTTTAGAGACTCAGGGGATCTTTTACAACCAGGTTCTGTGATCTCCATCTCCCCCAGCACACACTTCAGCCCCAGCCACACAGACCAAAGCAAGAACCTTGCAGCAAGACTAGAATAACAGCTGAGCACAAGATTCTGACTTCAGTCTCTGCTTCCAAGGGTTTTCAGTTTTCTTAGTCACACTAAGCACAGATTAAATTTAACAATTGCCATTTAGAGTCATAGAATTGTTTGGGCTGGAAGAGACCTTTCAGACCATCGAGTCCAGCCACTAACCCAGGTTACCACTAACCCAGGTTACCACTAAATCACGTCCCTCAGCACCACATCTCCATGGCTTGGAAACCCCTCCAGGGATGGGGACTCCACCACTGCCCTGGGCAGCCTGGCACAGGTCTGGACAACCCCTGAGGGAAGAAATTGTTCCTAATGTGCAAACTAAACCTCTGCTGGTGCAGCTTTAGGCTCTTTCCTCTTGTCCTGTTGGTTGTTCCTTGGGAGAAGAGCCCGACCCCCACCTGGCTCCAGCCTCCTTTCAAGGAGTTGTAGAGAGCAGCAAGGTCTGTTGATTGTCTGACATGGTCCACCCCCGGGCCCCCCAGCCGCTCCTCACAAGCCCCTTCCCCAGCTCTGTTGCCCTTCTCTGGCCACGCTCCAGCCCCTCAATGTCCTCCTCGGAGTGAGGGGCCCCAGACCGAACCCAGCAATTGCAGAGCAGCCTCCCCAGTGCCGTGTGTGGGGGGACGACCTGTAACGAGAGCAGCTCAGGACACGGCCAGCGGAGC